CTTACGTGATCATCCGGTCTGGCAAGGCTACTGCTGTTGTGATTTACACAGCCCCTCTCATCCAGCTACGTCAAAGTGTTTGAACACACTCGGGCTCCTTTTTCCTCATCATGGCAGAAAGAAAGGCTGATGGGTGTCTTTCCCATCAATCCAGTTAATTCAAAGTTGGAGAAATGGAATTATATAAGCCAGCCCAGTTGTCATTGAGTCGATTCCAACTCATGGTGACCTCATGTGTGTCAGAGTAGAACTGTGCTCCATAGGGTTTTCAATGGCTGATTTTTCAGAAGTAGATCTCCAGGCCTTTCTTCCAAGGTACCTCTGGGTGGACCTGAACTGCCAGCCTTTCAGTTATCAGCCAAGCACATTAACTGTTTGCACCACCCAGGGACTTTAAATTATATAGAATTTAAGGAATTTCCCCCAAAGTATACTGCATTGCAGAGGGCAAGATCTATATATAAAGTGCTTGTCCCAGCATTATAACTGGAAAAAAGGGGGTGGGGAGGAGAAATAACTTAAATGATTTTTTTTTTTTTGGGAGAATAGTTGTATAAATTATGGCGCATTCATAAGATGGAAGTATGCAAACATCAAAATCATGGGTATTAAGAATATTTGGTAAAATGGTCTTGATAGAACAAGATTAAGTGACACAAATACAGGATGAAGCTTTGTACATATGGTATGATTTAAAAAAGGTTTAACATACAGGAGAAATAAGACTTCAAGGAAATATGCTCAAGTTTTAATAGTCATTTTTCTTGGTGCCGTGGGATATTGGGTGGTTGCTATTTTCTTCTTTATACTTCCCAGTACTTCTTAATTATAAGATGGGAAAAATGGACACATTACTTTCATAATCATATACATGCTACCTGTCTGTCTATCTATCTGAGGAGCCCTGGTGGCGTGGTGGTTAAGAGCTATGGTGTGCTACAGCTGCTAACCAAAAGGTTGGCAGTTCGAACCCACCAGCTGCTCCTGGAAACCCTCTGGAGCAGTTCTGCTCTGTCCTATGGGGTCGCTATGAGTCAGAATCAACTCTATGGCAACAGGTTTGTTTGTTTATCTAGCTATCTGATTTTAAGAGGGAGAGAAGCGGACCGGTGAGAAGTAGGATGGGACATTTGAATTGAAACCCAGGAGATGAGAAAGCAGCAGCCATTTCTAACACTAGGGAGAAGCTCTTCCAGGCAGGGCAACAGCAGGAACAAAGCCCTAGGTTGGAGGAGGTTTGGAATTTTCTAGGTCCAGATAAATGGCCAGTGTGGGAAAGTGATGAGTGATAAGGTCAGAGAAATTGCCAAGGACCAGGCCATGTAGGACTCAGGATAAGAAGTTGGGCACCCCGTGTAGGAAGCTGACATGATCTGTTTTCAGCTCTGAAAGCTCTTGGGACCCATGTGTGAGTAGATTGTAAGGGGGCCAGTGCGGAAGTCAAGAGGTCAATTAGGGAAGTGTCGCAGGAGTCCACAAGTGACTGAGCAGGTGGGCAGTGTAGGTTGAGGTGTGTATCTTGACTTATTAGCTGTGTGGAGGTCATAATCATAATAATTGTTCATTGCCGTCAAGTTGGCTCTGACTCACGGGGACCCCATGTACGATAAAAGGAAATGTCGCCTGGACCTATGCCACCTTCACAATCTCTGATACGCTCAAATCCATTGTTACGGCCACTGTGTGTTTTTGAGTCCTTCCACCCTGGGGCTCTCGTCCTCCAGCATTCTGTTGGACAGTCTTCTGTTGTGATCCATAGAGTTTTCATTGGCTAATTTTTGGAAGTAGATCACCAGGCCTTTCTTCCTAGTCTATCTGAGTCTGGAAGCTCCCCTGAAACCTGTCCACCATGGGTGACCCTGCTGCTATTTGAAATACTGGTGGCCTAGTTTCCAGCATCGCAGCGACACGCAGGCCACCATAGTACAATTGGTGAGTCACTTGTTCAAAGGTCTTTGAGCCTTGAGAGAGTGGAGTAAAGTAAGAGGTAGCAATGCTGTCTGACTAAGCCTCCATGGCCTCTGACCTTGCACACGCAAAGTAGCTGCTCCTGTGTTCTTGAGAATTCCAAGTGCATATTATTTTCTCTCCCTGGGTACCTGAGAGCATTTGTTATCCTGCAAGACATTTTACTAGCGAAACGTCGTGCTTTTGTCCTTTCCTGGTGTAGGATGTTTTTCTGAAGTCAGGAAGGTGTATTGCAAAGTTTCGCTAAGTGATTTCTCAGAATATTAAACTTGTGAAATACACCATGAAAAAATAAATACATAAATGAAATCTGAGGTCAGAATGTGGGGAAAAGAGCAGCGTGTAAGAGATTCCAGGGCACATTCACCTGTTTATCTTGGTTCATCCCCGTCTCTCCCAGCAGTGTCTGACTCCCAACACCCCCTTCTCGTACACTCGGGCATGGTTTACAAAACACTGGGGTTCTCTGGAACACGCTGGGAAATGCTGGTTTGTGGTGAGGCTTTAGCTTGATACTTGGACTGGAATCAGCCTTAGCTTGATACCTGAAGGAAGACTAAATGAAATAAGTGTCTTTGCTTTTAACAATGATAAATATTGCCTGTGAAATACACTAACCAACCATTGAGTCAGTTCCAACTCATGGTGACCCCACATGTGTCAGAGTAGAACTGTGCCCCATAGGGTTTTCAGTGGCTGATGTTTCCCGAAGTAGAAGGCCAGGCCTTTCTTCCGAGGTGCCTCGGGACGGGCTACAGGCTAAAAAAATAAAACTCACTCTGAAAGTGAAGCTAGACCGTGGAATAGAATACAACGAGGCCTGGTTCCCAATACTAGCCATTCTAGTCTATGCCTGCCGAGCTCTGAGGATCACTCCCGATCCTAAAGGGCCAGACATCATCCCCTATTATCCCACCAGAGCAGAAGAGGGACCGCCAGGGTGAGCCACCATCCCTGGTGGTTCACAAGGACACCGTCAACCAGCCTTGCCTTCGCTTTGTGACCCGGGCCCCGTCTATTTGTGTATCTGCCGCTCAGTAACTCACATGGGCAGCATGCACCAGGTGTCACAGAAGCAGGTCTAGTCAGCGTTCTTCTGGCCCAGGGTCACTGCTGATATTGTAGCAGCAAGGACAGTGGGGTAGATCTGGGGACTGTGCAAACACTGGTCAGAAAAACCATTCCCTACCCCCAACACACACACACACACATGCGCACACATGCACACATGCACCCACGAGATGGCAGGATCAAAGGTAGAAACACCCTAAATATCCATCAACAGATGAATGGATAAACAAAGTGTGATTTATCCATATAGTGGACTGTTACTCAGCCATAAGGAGAAGCGAAGTCCTGATACACGCTACACATGGATGAACCTTGAAAACAATGCTGAGTGAAATAAGTCTGACACAAAAGGGCAAATGTGTTGTTGGATATATTTCACCACACGCGCACCCACACGCACACACACACTCGCACACATACAAGCACACGCACACACACACTCGCACACGTGCGCACACACACACACACACACACAAAGAATGACCCGGTGTGAAAAGGCATTCTTACCCTTTCCGCGGGAGCCTTAGCTGAGGCAGCGTGGCCGAGTGGCCGAGAGGCTGGCTCTGGAGCCAGGTCACCCATTTCAGTTCCTGCTGTTCCCTGACTATGTGATCCTTGCACGTCATTTAGCATCTCTGTATCTCATTTTTCCCTCATGTGCTAAACGGGAATGATGATGACGATAGTGCCTACCTGGTGGGGTAATTCGAAGAATTAAATGAGTCAGTCTATACAAAGTGTTCGGAACATAGTTTGACCCAGGAGAAGGGTCATGTCAGTGCCGTTACTGTGTTCTTTAGGTCAGGAATATGCCCCCTCAAAATACACGTTTATTCCTTTATTCGACAAATATTTATTTAGCACCTACGACGTCCCGGTCAGGAGACCCTGGTGGCATAGTGGTTGAGAGCAACAGCTGCCAACCAAAAGGTCGGCAGTTCGAATCCACGAGGTGCTCCTTGGAAACCCTATGGGGCAGTTCTGCTCTGTCCTACAGGGTCACTATGAGTTGGAATCGACTCGACAGCAAAGGGTTTGGTTTTTTGTTTGTTTTATGTCCCAGTCACTGTTCTAGCTGCGGGTGGTATATTAGTGAATAGAAAACACAAAAATCCCTGCTCTCATGGAGCTTCCATTCTAATGGACCCACTGCCATAGGGTTTCCAAGGCTGGAAATCTCTACGGAGCAGACTGCTACATCTTCCTCCCACCAAGTGCCTGGTGGGTTCAAACCACCAACCTTTCGGCTAGCGCCCGCGTGCTTAACCACTGTGCCACCAGAACTTCTTTCTAACGGAAGGTATTAGTAATAATACAAATGGAAAGAAAATATATGCACAATTATACTCAGCCCAGTACCTGGCCTATAGTTGTTAAATAAATAGATGCATTATTCATATTGTTACTGTTTTTTGTTTGCTTGTTTTTATTATTGCTCAATGGGACTTGGTAGCTTCAGCTCTCGCCTGAGATAAGAAGATGCAGCTACACCAGCACAGAAAGTTATGCCGGTGGACAACTGAAGCTACCAGATAAAGATTAGAGAGGAAAACGAGAAAGAGAAGGGATGAAGTCAGGCCCTCCCCTGTGGCCATGAATTTAGTTGAAAATGAGCTGCACCTTTTTGGCTTTCTTCCCTGTGTCTTGGGGGTACAGTTACTTGTAGGCAGATTCCCACATTCCTAAACACGAGAACTTTCTCAGCTGCACCAGATACAGGTTCATCTTTAAATGTACAAAACAGAGAAGGATGGTGTTGCTGGTTATTCTCAGCTGACTGCAAGCTAAAGGGGAAGCATCAAGCATCACACACTCACTGCTCCAAAAATCATTCACTTCTAAAAGGAAAGACCCCTTCAAAGTAATCACCCCAGGAGTGTAGACCTCGGTATTCCACGAAGAACTTGGTGAAAGTAAACTCTAGACCCTACTCACTGGTTCTTTTATCTTTTCTTTTCCAGAAATCTTCTCTATGTTTACCCACGGAGGCTGAACTTCGCTAGCAAGCTAGCATCTGGCCGGAACATTACAATAAAGATCCAGTTTATGTGCGGAGAGGATGCTAGCAACGCTTTGCCGGTAAAGAGGGAATTAAGCATTTGCTTCCAACCAGAGTGGGCTGAACGCGCTTGTAAATTACCCTCGACAATAGCTAGTGCTCATCCGGATCCTTTATACTCGTTGCTGTGGAGTCACCTCCGACTTCTGGCAACCCCACATGTGTCAGAGCAAAACTGTGTTCCATAGGGTTTTCAATGGATAGTTTTTTCTGGAAGCAGATTGCCAGACTTTTCTTCCACGGCACCTCTGGGTGGACTTGAACCTCCAACCTTTCAGTAAACAGCCAAGCATGTCTGCACCACCGAGGGCCTCGCATCAACATACAGAGTGTGTCGTTTACAGGTCTGCGCAAGGACTGTGGGGCTAGCCTGCTGTCGTTCCCAGGATACTGATGGGAAAACGTAGGCAGTCTAAATTGAAAGTGTCTGCCCTAACTTATTCCATGGCGAGCTGTAAAACTTTGGAAATGCAGATCATTCTAGATGGCTGAAAAAAGACCATAAACTTTCCATACTACTGATGTAGAATCACATCAGCCTACGAGCTTAAGAAGCAGAGAGATGGGCTCGACCTGTCTGCCGTGTTGGGTACCCAGGCCCCACACGCCACTGAGTAACAATATGGAGCACTGTCCAGTAATAATAAACACACACCACCTCAACACCTTTTAGGAATGGATCTTCATCCTGAGGCAAAATTCAGGTTAAATAATAAATCACGCCACCACCTGTTGCCATCAAGTTGATTCTGACCTATAGCGACCCTATAGGACAGAGTAGAACTGCCCCATAGGGTTTCCAAGGCTGTCATGTTTATGGAAGCAGACTGCCACAGCTTTCTCCTGCAGAGCCGCTGGGTGGGTCCAAACTGCCAACCTTTCAGTTAGCAGCCGAGCACTTAACCATTGTGCCACTGGGGCTTCTTAAATAATAAATACGTAATGCAATGCAGTGTTCTCTAAGGAACCAGAAATGCCAGAATTTTTATTTTTTAACCATCTTCCACTAAATGAAATGGGTGGTAAGCTGTTACTATTTCCCATAAGTCATGGCAGGGGCCCTGGTGGCGCAGTGGTTAAGCTCTTGGCTGCTAACTGAAAGGTCAGTGGTTGGAACCCACCACCCGCTCTGAGGGAGAAAGGTGTGGCTGACTGCTCCCATGAGGATTATGGCCTTGGAAACCCTACGGGGCTGTTCTGCTCTGTCCTACAGGGTCGCTAGGAGTCGGAATAGACTCGATGGCAGTTGGTGTGGTTTGGTTTTGGTATAAGTCGTGGCATTCAGTTCCCATATCTTTCTGCTGAGGTGGTTTTGCCCAGTGCTCTCATTCTTCGAATATTTGCTTTTTTCTTCTCTTGTTTTCACCGTCTTCCTAATGTCCCACCGTAGGAGCCTGGGCAGCGCAAGCGGTTGGCGATCGGCCGCTGACCCAAAGCTTGGTGGTTTGAACCCACCCAGCAGCTCTGCAGAAGAAAGACCTGGCGATCTGCTTCTGTGAAGATGACAGCCAGGAAAACCCTGTGGAAACCCTGTGGAGCGCAGTTCTGCTCTGTGACACACGGGGTACCCAACAACGTCCCGCCTCCCTTCTCAACGCAGGGTGTGCTCCTGCAGTGGTCGTGTGGAGAGGTCCTTTGTGCCTGGGCAGAAATGGGCGGCTAGAAAGGGGCCTCCTCTAGCTGCCCCGCCCTGGCCTCTGACACGTCGCCCTCGGGCCTTCCAGGTGTGGTCGTGCAGCCCCAGAGCTGCACGTAGGTGCCCAGCCAGGGGGGCGGGCGGGGGCCCAATCCAGCCTCTCCTCCCCTCACCCACCACGGGGGTGATTTCATGTGAAGGAGGAACAACACCACACCTGTCGCCACCAAGTTGATTCCGACTCATGGTGGCCCACATGCTACACAGTAGAACTGAGCTCCATAGGATTTTCTTGGCTGTAGTCTTGATGGAAGCAGATTGCCAGGCCTTTCTTTCGCAGCACTACTGAATGAGTTTGAACCACCAACCTTTTGGTTAATATTGTTGCTTTGTTAGGTGCCATTGAGTCATTTCCGACCCGTAGCAATCCCGTATGCAACGGAAGGAAACACTGCCCCGCCCTGCGCCATCCTCACGATCATCGCTATGCTTGAGCCCGTTGTTGCAGCCACTGTTCCGTTAATGGGTGCAAACCGTTTGCGCCACCCGGGAAGCCTCATTTGGAGGAAAGTGGTTTTTATTTCTTTGCTCGAAAGTGAACCCTCCTGTCAAATCATGTGCCTTTACGGTTGCGTCAGCCTCAGGGAGCTTTTTCTAAATTGCACAGATATGTGATCACCGGTCTTCTCCCCAGGCGACCAAGCCCATGTCTTTGGAGGGGGAAGAGCCTGGGCTCGGGATCTGTCATTGAGGGCGAAAGCATGTGGCTCTGCCCTGCAGTGTAGACCTGTAGGCGGTGAGGCCGCGCAGAGAGGGCCCTGGTGTTTTAGCCTCATACACCTGGGCCCCTTGGTCACTGATTTAGCTCTTTGGTGTCTCTGTGTGCCCTGCAGAACCAGTTGTTCTGCATCAGTGCGGTTGGGCCAGCAGTAGAACCCAGCACCCTTGATTTACAAGCCACAGCTCTATGACACCAGAACATCCTATTGGGCTGTTGACCATGGATTTGATAGCCTCGAATGTAACTCTTAATTTGGTCCTTTCTATTTTGGTGGACAGGTCATTTTTGGAAAGTCCAGTGGGCCTGAATTTCTACAGGAAGTGTACACAGCTGTCACATACCATAATAAGTAAGTACATTTCAGAGTTCTGAATGTATACCAGGGTTGGCTCATTATCTCCCGCCTTTTCTGAATTCTCTGTGTGATTCCTCCCAACGGATGTTAGAATTTAGGAGCTAACCAACAGAGGAAATCCTTACGAGTTCCATGATCCTGTGCTGAGAAGCACAGTCCAACTAAGACTGAGAGAAGAGCAAATCTTCAAGAGCCTTGTATTGGTTTGATTTTTCTAGAACCTTCTAGTATGATGCAGAGATGTTTTATGGTGTTTGATAAGCAAATAACTTTCCTCACTTCCTTTGAGGTACTGGAGGGAGCCCCAAACAGAACCCACCTCTCCTCACGGCGTCTCTTTGTCTTCTAGATACCACCCCGCACCTGCCTCACTGCCTCCTTGGAGAAAATTTAAGTTGACCAAGTAGAAATGGAGCACTCATTACTAAGTCAGCACACTGAGTCACAGCATAATGTCTACAGGGTTACTCATATGTCACAGATGGGAGGGAAATCTATACAAGATTAGCCAAGTTTGGGTTTCATCCTGGTCTAATAACCTTGGCCCATTCAAGTACTTCTCTGAACCCACTTTCCAGGGCTGGGATGAGGGTTAAATGAGGTCTTGGACATGAAGCACTGGGTACATGGTACTTGGTAATTCAGTAAATTCTAGTTCCCTTTCCTCCCCACACCACTCTTTTGTTTCTTCGACATCCTTTGATGCCCAAAAGTATGAATATTGTATAATCCCACTTATGTGAAATATTTAGAATAGGCAGATTCTTTTTTATTATTATTATTTATTTTTTTGTGCTTTAGGTGAAAGTTTACAGTTCAAGTTAGTTTCTCATCAAAAATTTATACACAGATTGTTTTGTGACATTGGTTGCAATCCCCGCAATGTGACAGCACGCTCCCCCTTTCCACCCCGGGTTCCCCATGTCCATTCATCCAGTTTTCCTGTCCCTTCCTGCCTTCTCCTCTTGATGTTGAGCTGGAGTTGCTCATTTGGTCTCGTATGTTTGACTGAACTAAGCAGCACATTCCTCCTGTGTGTTATTGTTTGTTTTATAGGCCTGTCTAATCTTTGTCTGAAAAGTGGGCTTTGGGTGTGGTTTCAGTTTTGGGTTAGCAGAGTGTCCGGGGGCCGTAGTCTCAGGGGTTCCTCCAGTGTCTGTCAAACAGTGAGTCTGGTCTTTTCTTGTGAATCTGAATTTTGTTCTACATTTTTCTCCTGCTCTGTCCAGGACTATCTGTTGTGATCCCTGTCAGAGTGGTAGGTGGTGGTAGCCGGGCACCATCTAGTTCTTCTGGGCTCAGGCTGGTGGAGGCTCTGGTTCATATGGTCCATTAGTTCTTTAGGCTAATATTGTCATGTGTCTTTGGTTTTCTTTGTTCTCCTTTACTTGGGACAGCACGGGACCAATAGATATATCTTCTATGGCCGCTGGCCAACTTTTAAGACCCCAGACGCTACTCACCAAAGTAAGACGTAGAACATTTTCTTTATGAACTCTGTTATACCAATCGACCTAGATATCACCTGAGACCATGGTCCCCAGCGCCCAGCCCCAGCAACTCTGTCCCTCAAAGTGTTTGGATGTGTTTAGGAAACTTCTGTCTAGACTAGGCAGATTCCGAGAGACCAGAGTTTATTAGCGGTGACCAAGGGTGGGTGAGGGGGGGAAATGAGGAGCTACTGCTTACAGGGTACAAAGTTTTTCTTACCAGTTGCCATTGAGTTGACTCCGACTCACAGTGACCCCATGTGTGTCAGAGTGGAACTCTGCCCCATAGGGTTTTCAGTGGCTGATTCTTCGTGAGTTGATTGCCAGGCCTTTCTTCCAAAGTGCCTCTGGGTGGACTCGAGCCTCCAACCTTTTGGTTATCAGCTGAGTGCATTTACCGTTTGCACCACCCAGGGACCCCGGAGGTTTTGTTAAGGATGATGAAAAAACTTGGAAACGGACAGTGGTGATGGTTGTACGACATGGTGAATGTAATTAATGTCATGGAACTGTACACATAAAAATGATGGAAATAGCAAACGTTTCGGGATATATATTTCACCACAATAAAAATTTTTTAAAAAACAGAAACAACACACAAACAAGAAAATCGTTTGATGAGTGTGCCCCTTACTGGGGCCTGTTCTCAGGGCAGAGATGGAAAAGGAGGTCACTACAGGTCACCCTGTTGTCAAATTAAGTTGTTGGGTGTCTCCATTGTGGGGGGGATTTTTTTCCTGTTGACGCCTTTGGTCTCTGAGGATTTTGCTGTGAGTGGCCTCGAGGACTTCCGGTACAGGAGCCGGATGATGTACAATGAAAAGCCAGACACCAAGCAGACAAATCCTGAGGGGTAGAGGGTACACGGTGTTACAGCTTGCGGCCAGCAAAGTCCTCATTCACACTAAAAGTTAATTGTGTCTAACGTGCTTTTGAAACAGGTCTCCTGACTTTTATGAAGAAGTGAAGATCAAGCTCCCTGCTAAGCTCACAGCAAACCACCACCTCCTGTTCACCTTCTATCACATCAGCTGCCAGCAGAAGCAGGGCGCCTTGGTCGAGAGCCTCATGGGATACTCAGTGAGTTCCCTTCACCTGACCGTCCACCCTGTGGTTAGCACTCAGGGTCCCTGCAGAGATAAACTACTAACGGCCTTCACCTGCTTCCTTCCTGTCGGCAGGAGCGATACGGCCTAACCCAGATTATCACAAAAAGCAGAAAAGCCTCTTCTTTGCAAACGAGAGATTTCAGGAACAGAAAGCTAGTGTCTGATAGATCGAGAAAGAATACTCCCATACAGCAAAAGCATTACAATGCCCGTTCTTTCCACGTGTAATATACGTGCTTCACCGGGAACTCAACTCTTTTTTTCCCCAGGGGGGACAACAAAAGTTATTTCTTTAAAACATATAGGAAAGGCAAAATAAACATTGATGGTGTTCAGACGCACACAGACATTGACTCTCGAGAAAAATGCTGCTTCCTTGGCTCTGCAAACCCTCCACCTCAGGGGCGCTCAGGGGATTTAAAATGCCAAGAACTTGACAGAAATGACAGCCGGAAGGAGCTGCGGGCAGTATCCACTCATCGTTTGGTTGCATTTGATTATTGTGAGCAGGATACATTGCCAGAGTCACGTGCTGTAATAAATGCTGCTTTCTCCTTTATGTCATCTGTTTCAGTGGCTGCCGATGCTCCTGAATGAACGTCTTAACACTGGATTCTTCTGTCTCCCCATTGCCTTGGAGAAGCTGCCACCCAACTACTCCATGCATTGTGCAGAGGTAACCGGCGAGCTGGCCGTCCACTGTTCCGAGTGGCCACGGTCTCCGACCACCTTCCCAGACCCACACGTCCTTGTCTTAAACCTGACGCAGGATGCTTGTCCTGTTTCAGAGAGGTTATCTGTCAGCACACAGTGTCTTCTGAGAGCACCTCGGACTGATAAAACCCAAACCCGTTGCTGTTGAGTCAATTCCAATTCATGGAGACCCCAAGTGTTACAAAGTATAACTGCTCCATAGGGTTCTCAGCGGCTGATTTTTCGGAAGCAGATTGCCAGGCCTGGTGCCACTGGGCAGGTTCCAACCACCAACCTTTAACCCATTGCCATCGTATCTATTCCAGCTCATCACCTGAACTGCCCCATAGGGTTTCCAAGGGGCACCCGGTGGATTTGAACTGCCGACCTTTTGTTCAGCAGGCATAGCTCTTAACCACTACACCACCAGGGTTTCCCCACCAACCTTTAGGTTACTAAAAAAAACAAAAAATCTGTTGCCATTGAGTCGATTCTGACTCGTAGCGACCCTATAGGACAGAGTAGAACTGCCCCACAGAGTTTCCAAGGAGCAGCTCGTGGATTTGAACTGCTGACCTTTTGGTTAGCAGCCGAGCTCTTAACCACTGGGCCACCAGGGCTCCTTTCAGTTACTAGTCAAGTGCAAACCAGTTGTGCCACACAGGACACACTCATTGGTCTGATAGGACAGGAGAAACCTCATTCATTTGTTGTTAGTGTTAGTCAGTTGCCGGCGAGTCGGCTCCCACTCATGGTGACCCCATATACACCAGAATGAAACACTGCCCGGTCCTGTGCCAGCTTCATGATCGTTGGTCTACTCAATTCCATTGTTGCGGCCACTGTGTATTTTGAGGGCCTTCCAACCTAGGGGCTCGTCTTCCAGCACTGTAACAGACAATATTCTACTGTGACCCGTGAGATTTTCAGAAATAGATCACCTGGCCTTTCCTCCTAGTCCGTCTTAGTCTGGAAGCTCTGCTGAAACCTGTTCAGCATCACAGCAACACGCAAGCCTCCAATGACAGACAGGTGGTGGCTGCCCATGGGGTGCACTGGCCGGGAACCAAACCCAGGTCTCCCACGTGGAAGGCAAACATTTTACCACTGAACCACCACTGTCCTTGTTCTAATTTCCCAGAACTCCCAATTACCTTCTTAGTGTTGTGGAACAGACCTGCATTTTGAAGACAGAGAAATCTGGATCCAAAGTTCAGATTCCACCACTCACTAGCTGTGTGACCGTGAGTGAGTTGGTTGCCCTTTCTGAGTCTCAAAGATGAAACTGAGCCCATATCTGCCTGTGAGGTTGCTGTGAATATTGAATAAGATAATGGCTGTCAAGCAACAGACTCAATGCCTGAGTAGATATTAGCTCTTTTTTCCTACTTGCCCTAAGCTATCTTTATAGATACACCGTCGGCCTCTTACAATATCCTTTATACCTACGCTATCCAGTCCATTAGCCACCAGCCTACGACCAGTCCCAACCGAGATGTGTTGAAAGTGCAAAATTCACATGAGGTTTCAAAGACTTAGAAAAAAATGTAAAGTAGCTCGATCATGCGTTTGTATTGATTACATGTTGAAATTATCATCCTTGAGCTATATAGGGTTAAACAAAATATATTATTAGAATGATTTTCACTTTTTTTTAATGTGGCAACTAGAAAATTTTAGCTTGCATATATGGCTGACATTATATTTCTAGTGGACAGCGCTACATTGGATCACAGATGGCAAACTCAGGTGTCCCCAGGAGCTGGGCAAGTAATGTGAGTGAGTGCCGGTCCCAGTTGAAATTGTCCCCACTGGAGGCTGCCTGTCCATTCGAAGCCCACGCTGCTCCTCCGCTCCCCAGATAGATGCCAGGCTGGGATGCAAGGCCACTGTTTTTATATCTTCCACCTCTCAAACAAAGTTAGAGAAGCAGTCTTTTATGTGAAATTCCCTGACTTGCAAATATTGGCAATGAATTCAAAAAGGTTTCCAATGCCCTGTGGGCTGGATCCAGCCACTGGGCCCAGGTTGTCACTTGCTTTGCCTTAGATGGTTCGCAGGGTGCCCACCCCATGCACACACCTACCCTTGGAGGTACAGCCTAGTTCCTTTCCTTAAAACAGAAATGGACACAAACCCCCCCACATGAGTGGCAGCATCAGCCGAGGCCCTCCTCACTCCACACTGGCTCTGGAGGAAGACAGTTCCGATGGGACGTGAAGGCAAGAAGTGATCTCTAAGAGGACAGCAGTGGGTCCGTGGGAGAATACTCGCCTTCCACTTGGGAGACCTGGGTTCGATTCTCATCCACTGCACCTCAAGCGCAGCCACCACCCATCTGTCAGTGGAGGCTTGCGTGTTGCTGTGATGCTGAACGGTCTTCAGCGGAGCTTCCAGACTAAGACTAGGAAGAAAAGCCTGATGATCTGCTTCCAAAAATCAGCCAACAAAAACCTTATGGATCACAACAGTCCAATCCTCAACCGATCAGTGGGGCTGGTGCATGGGGTTGTCATGCATTCTGTTGTGCATGGGGTTGTCATGCATTGAGGGCATTTTAATTGACTTGCCAAAATAAAAAGAACTAGTTCAATGCAGAATTGAACTTGAACCCAGAGATCCTGACTTCAAGGTCTGTATTTTAGGTGGAGTGGAGGGGGCAGTGGTTTATGTTTGTAAAGATCCCTAAGTGGTGCAAACAGTTAACACGCTCAGCTGCGAACCCAAAGGTGAGCCATGAGTCGGAGTTGACTGAAGGCACCTGGGTGGTTTGTATGTGTGTGTAGCCTTGATGGTTGCAGTCCTGTTCTTTCACTCTGCTCGTTAGTAATCAGGAAAGGAGACTGAATGGCTAATGTTTTGTTTGTTTTTCTTTAACACAGAGAGTCCCTTTACAGAATCCTCCCATTAAGTGGGCTGAAGGACATAAGGGAGTATTTAATATAGAAGTGCAAGCTGTTTCTTCCGTTCACACCCAGGTAAAGAACTTCAAGGTCAACTTCCAGTCAGACCCAGAACGCTGGTAATGAAGATGGGGGAGGCAGCGGGGAGATGTTCCGCGGACAGGCCAGCAAAACGCGAATGAAAACCTTTGTATATGGATTAAAAACACAAAAAAGACCTTCAGTTGTTAGTGAGGACTTAACAAGCCTGTTCGGGTTCCATTTGTTGTTTATATGGAAAAACCTGACCAAAATGTCAAACCCAGGATGAAGGAAGCCAGTGTCTACCCTGTGGGAACGTTTGTCTGCTGCTACCTCGTTGTCTTTTATGATCCTTCCATTTGACCAGCCTTTTTCAGTTCTTTTAGCTCCACATTCCCGCCTTTTCCTGTCGCTGTCTGAGTTTTGCATCTGCTTAGACCCTCTTTATTTTCTGCTTAAATTTCAAAAAAAAAAAAAAATTTTTTGTGGTAGAATATATATACCAAAGCATTTGCCATCTCTCCATTTTTTACACGTACAATTCAGTGATATTAATTACATTCACTGTGTTGTGCAGCCATCACCATTACCCATTTCCAGATTTTTCCATCACCCCAAACAGAAGCTCAGTGCCCCCTAAGCAATAACTCCCCATGTCCCTTCTCCCAAGCCCCTGGTCCCCACTGATAAACTTTGGTCTCTATACATTTGCCAAATTCTAGAAAGTTAGTATAAACGGAATCATACAATATTTGTCCTTTTGTGACTGACTTATTTCGCTCAGCATCGCGTTTGCAAGATTCACCCACGTCATAGCGTGTATCAGGACTCCATTTGTCTTTATGGCTGGGTGACATTCCACTGTATGGATGGACCACACCGTGTTTATCCATTCACCTGTTGATGGACACGTGCGTTGTCTTACCTTTTGGCTGTAGTGAACATTGGTGAGCTAGTATCTGTTTGCTTCCCTGCTTTCAACTCTTTTGGGTGTAGGCTTTGTATTGGGATTGCGGAGTCATACAGCAGTTTTTTGTTCGTTTGTTTGTTTTCAAATAATATTGATTTTATTTTTGGTGAAACTATATGAATCAAAACATGCACCCAGTCAACAATTCTTACACAGTCCAGTCCAGTGACATCATGTCTTAGTCATCCAGTGCTGCTCTAACAGAAATCCCACAAGTGGATGGCTTTAACAAAGAGAAATTTATTCTCTCACAGTCTAGTAGGCTACAGGTCCAAATTCAGGGCATCAGCTCCAAGGGAAGGCTCTCTCTCTGTCAGCTCTGGAGGAAGGTCCTTGTCATCAGTCTTCCCTTGGTCTGGGAGCGTCTCAGCACAGGAACCTCAAGTCCAAAGGACATGCTTTGCTCCCGGCACTGCTTTCTTGGTGGTATGAGGTCCTCCCACACCCCAGGGAAACTCCCTTTACCTTGGATCAGGGATGTGACCTGGGTAAGGGTGGTGTTACAATCCCACCCTAATCCTCTTTAACATTAAATTACAATCACAAAATGGAGGAGAACCACACAGTACTGGGAATCATGGCCTAACCAAGTTGACACATATTTTGGAGGGACACAGTTCAATCCATGACACATCATATGGCAGTTCTTGACCCCTTTCTGGACAGTGTGTGTATCTGGTATGCTGGCCTCTGCTTGCAGATCATGTCAGAGCTGCAATGCTTCTCTCCAGTTCACAGTCATGGAGAGGTCATAGACTGCGCACGGTGAGGCTCATACCTTGGTCTGAAGCACCCTGTCTTAGAACTTCCGGTCTGGAACACTGGTTAAGAGGTTCCGCTGCTAAAGAGCTATCTGACTCTGCTTGTGAATCCACTGGGAAACACAGATGGGATGAGACCCACGCCGTCTGCCTCTCCCTCCCCAGGACAACCACCTGGAGAAGTTCTTCACCCTCTGCCACTCCCTGGAAAGCCAGGTGACCTTCCCGCTGCGCTTGCTGGACCAGAAAATCAGTGAAGGCATGCTGGAGCACGAGCTGAAGCTCAGCATCATCTGCCTCAACTCCTCCCGCCTGGAGCCGCTGGTGCTCTTCCTGCACCTGGTGCTCGACAAGCTCTTCCAGCTGTTGGTGCAGCCCATGGTCATCGCTGGCCAGACAGGTGGGCGCCTGCGGCTGGCCTCGGGCTGGGGAGGCCCCTGGGCCTCGGAGGAGGCCTTGCTCTGTCTATGAAACAGGATTTCCCAGCAACCCAGGGAGCAGGGGCAATGCCGTCTTCCTTTCTACTGGGGGGGCCAAGCCCAGGTCCATTGTTCTGGGACTCCCTGGATGTTAAAAGTAAATGAATGAGTAAACGAACAAACGTTAAAGTAGGGTTCCTAAGATTATAGTGGAGGCCCTGGGTGGTGAAAACGGTTAATACATTCGGCAGCTAACTGAAAGGTTAGAGGTTCGAGTCCACTCACATGTGCCTCGGAAGAAAGGCTTGGCTATCTACTTGCAAAAGATCAGCCACTGAAAACCCTATGGGGCACAGTTCTACTCGGACACTCATGGGGTCGCCAGGAGCTGGGGTTGATTCAACCGCAGCTGGTGGGAAGATGACAGTATTTTTTAAAAATAAACTTTATTGAACGACTAGAGGTGGCCTTTCAAATCCCACTGCTGGTAATTTATGGACTTATTTACTTCCTCTCTAAGATGTTTTTGTTTTCTTGGCCAACAAAGAAATTTAACACTTTAAAAGAGTAGGACAAACCACGTCGATGGAGAGAAATCAACTCTCGGAACTGAAATTCACCGCAATCACTTTTTTTTTTCTTTTTAACTGAGATATGATTCACATGCCAGAAAATCCAGTATTTTAATGTGCACAGCTAAGTGGATTTTAGTATATTTGCAAGGTTGTACAACTATCACAATATAAAATGTTGTATTTCCTTGTTGGTCAAGAAAACAGAAATGTCTTAAAAGTAAAATAAATGTATAGATTGCTAAGAATGTGATTTGAAAGACTTCCTTAATGATTTAATAAAGTTTATTTTTAAAAATGCTATAATTTTAAGAAGTCTATTTTAATGTTTCTTTAATTTTTTTAACATCCAAGGAATCTCAAAATAAATGGAACTAATTCCAGAACGTTTGCATCTCTCCAAAAAATAAACCCCTACGCATTAGTAGTTACTATCTATTACCCCCTACTCAGCCCCTGGCAAACACTAATCTACTTTCTGTCTTATAGTAGAATCACCAGACCTTTCTTCTGATGCACCTCTGGGTGGACTCAAACCGCCAACCCTTTGGTTAGCAGCCGAGCGCATTAACTGTTTGCATCACCCAGGGTCTTCATGGAATATGGGTGTGTGTGGTGGGAGGGGGCTCTGAGGCTGACTGTGTGATATGAGTGGGGGTGGGGCTCTGAGGCTGACCACGTGGGCTGAGGGGGGGTTTCAGTCCCGGGGACGAGGGTTTCCTCTTCACCTGCCAGGTGCCATTGCATCCTGGGATGCATCTTTTGTGGCTCCACAGGTAAGACGTCCTGTGTTGTAGGCAGGAGTCCCGGGTGGTGCAAATAGTTAACATGCTCAGCTGCTAACTGAAAGGTTGGAGGTTCAAGTCTACCCAGAGGCACTTCAGAAGAACGGCTTGGCAATCTACTTTCAAAAAATCAGCCACTGAAAACCCTATGGAGCACAGTTCTACTCTGACACACATGGGGTCGCCATGAGTTGGGATCAACTCAACAGCGCCCGTTTTGTTGTTTTTTCATGGGGCCGCCATTTTTCTCTTGGTTCCTCAGCCAACTTCTCCCAGTTTGCGTTCGAATCTGTGGCAGCCATTGCCAACAGTTTCCACAACAGCAAGGACCTGAGCAAGGACCAGCACGGACGGAACTGCCTGCTGGCCTCCTACGTGCACTATGTCTTCCGCCTGCCGGAGCCGCACAGGGACGCGCCCAAGTCAGGTAGGGTTGCCGGAGGTGAGTCTGGAGGGGAGGGCGCCCCCACTCCCCACCCTCGCCATGTACTTCAAAATAAAGTAAAAAACCCTCAAGTCAAAGTTTCATTTTTCAGAATAACACTAAACTTACATGAGTACTGAAAGTAGAAGTTTCTCTCTAGATTTTTCTCATTTTCTTCCTCCCTCCCTTTTTTGTGCTTTAAGCACTTATTTTGTCCACTTGAGAATCCCTCACTCATCTTTACCCAGTTTTTTAACCAACCGCACCTTCCACCCTCCTCAAGGTATTTTTGTAAGCGCAGCCCTATGCTAATTTTTTTTACAGCAACATGTAAGCATGCTTATAAAAATACCTCTTGGGGGGTGGGGGAGGGTGCAGTTGCCAAAAAAAAAAATGAGAACAAGTGCATTATTTGCATAAAATACACTAATACCTTCTGCCTTTGAATGAGGCATGTGTTTCCAGTTCACCATACTCCTCACCACTCCCTAATGCCTCATACCCTAAACATCACCTCCCTGGCTCCCCTGGGCATTTGATAATAAGACCCTAATTCTGCGGCCTGTCTAGTGGGTATTTATTCCACCATCTGCCCGGTCCCTCTCCAAATAAGTGACTCTGGTCCCTGTCTGTGGCCATGCTTTGCCCACCTGTGTAAAGGCGGCCCCACTCCTGTCCCGGATCCTCGCTACCACACGTATGGACGCACTTCTGCTGCCGCTGTGAGTTCGAAGTTGCTGCAGGCCCGGGTGATGAGCAGCAGCAACCCAGACCTCGCGGGGACGCACTCCGCAGCCGACGAGGAAGTAAAGAGCATCATGTCAGCAAAGGTAGGCGACCGTCAAACCCAGAAGTCACACAGGCCTGTTTATGTTTAATTAAAACTTGGAAAACAACACAAAATCAACCCCCATTGAAGGCCGTTTCCCAGAGGAAGGCTGCTCTGTGCTTGTTTTAATGCTGCCCGCTACGTTGGTAAAATGGCTTCATGCCTAGCTTTAGAAGCATGGAAGTTCTTCTCTTTTGAACTGAAGCTGTGGAGGCAAGACTGGCACCTGAGAATCTTCTCAGAGTTAGTCAGCTCTGGTGGGAGCCCTGACGGTGCAGAGGTTAAGGGCTCAGCTGCTAACCAGAGGGTTGGCGGTTCGAAGCCACCAGCTGCTCCACAGGAGAAAGATGTGGCGGTCTGCTTCCGTAAAGATTACGGGCTTCGACACCTTATGGGGCGGTTCTACTCTGCCCTGTACGGTCGCCATGAGTCAGAATTGACTTGATGGCCACGGGGAGCTGGTTTAGCCACATCAAACTGATGAATACCATGAATTGTATTTTCAAGAAACAAAATTCGTTTTCACCTTTGTTGATACCTAGATAAGTTTTTTTATTTTGTCGTTTTTGTTTTAATACCTGCTTTGTATATTCACTACATCCATAGACTGATGATCCCATAGAATAATCCCAAGGAGTGAAGCCAAATTTATAAACAAATTAAAACTGAGATTCTGAGAGGGTTGGTGACTTGCAGTATGTATTTTTTTTCCTTCTGTGAATTCTCTGTTTTTTCTTGATAAACTTTTTATTTTAGAACTGTTTTAGATTTATGGAATTATTGCAGAGATAGTATAGAGTTCTTGTATACCTCACCTCCACTTTCCCCGTTATTAACATCTTACATTAGAAGGCTACACTTGTCAGTTAATGAACAATATTACAACATTATTCTTAGCTAGTGTTCATACTTCACTCCGATTTCCTCAGCTTCCCCCGCTGGCCTTTTTCTGCCCCAGGACCCCACCCAGGATCCCAGGAATCATTATGTCTCCTTGATCTCCTGAGCGTGGATGACAGTTTCTGAGACTTACCTTTTTTTTTTTTGACAGTTTTGAGGAGTACTGGTCAGGTATTTTGTAGAATGTCCCTCAACTGGAATTAAAAAAAAAAAAAAAATTGTGATATAATTCACATACCATAAAATTCACCCTTTTAATATGTACAATTCAATGATTTTCAGCATATTCACAGAGCTACTTTTCTTAATTTTCTTTCTGGTTATCTTTGGCCTCCTGGTGACTGAGCTTTTAGAGACAGAATCATTTCCCCCTGATTAAGATATATCAAAATCTCCAGGCTTAGAGAGTTTGCCCTTGCAAACGCCACCTACTTGGGTCAGTGGGGAATGAGAAAGGGGATCCTCAGACCAGGGTTCAGGCCTCGGCTCTGACACCCCGCTCCCCCGCCGTGTGGCCGTGGCCTGTGGTTTTCCTCAGCCCGCCTTGTTTTCCTCACCTTTGCAGAGGCTCAGAGCCCCGGCTGGGCTTGGGAATCGTCTGTGGATCTTTTTAAATGATGGCATCTTTTTAAATTGCAACTTTAAATGAAATTGTCAATAGTCTACTGTTTTTTATTTTCAACAATCAACCAGTGGTGTACTGAAGCTGCCTCGTACCCATTCAGGAGAGGCGATTGCTAAATTTTCAGGAGTTTTTAGATCCACTTGCTGGACACAGACATGACTAAAAATTAAAGTAGAAAGACTTACAATTTAAAAAATTATATTAAAAACTAGGGTAATCCTTTATGATGTCTGCAACTCCAGATGGTTCAAAAAAATACATTTTGTCTGTATTTAAAAAAAAAAAAAAAAAACCCATTGCAGTCAAGTTGATTCTGACTCATGGCGACCCTATGTGTTACAGAGTACAACTGTGCTCCTCAGAGTTTTCTTGACTGTAATCTTTACAGAAGCAGACTGCCAGGCCTGGCTTCCACAGAGCCGCTGGGTGGGTTCGAACCGCCAACCTTTAGGTTAGTAGTTGTGTGCAGACTTCTTGCGCCATACACACCACACACACACACGTGGTTTTTAAAAATATATTTATATACACACACATACATACACACGTGCACACACACACAGACACACACACACAGAAGCAGAGAAACAATCCTGGCGCAATGTTAACAATCACTAGATCTGGGTGAAGGGTTTATGGTTGCTTCTTGTATGTACTGTTGCAATTTTTCTGTGGGTTTGAAATTTTTCAAAATAAAAAGTTGGTTTAAAAACACAACATTCATTGAAAAAACAAAAAAGGTCATCTAAGTGCACTGTGGTATCCTGGGCTATTGGACCCCGGAACATAAAAAGGACATTCTTGGAAAAACTGGTGAAATCCAAAACAAGTCCGGAGTTTAGCTAAGAAACTAAATGTACCAGTGTTCATTTCTTAGTTTTGACAAGTGTACCACAGTCACGCAAGATGTTAACATTAGGGGAAACTGTGAAGGGTATACAAGAATCTCTGGGCTACCTTTGTCATTTTTCTGTAAATCTAAAATTATACCCCAAATTAAAAGTTTATTTTAAAAACGTAAGAAATACTCAAACCTCAACCTTTCCTGATTATTTTCTGCATGTTACTTGAGGCTATTTATGTCTATTGTATCCATGTGGTGGAAATACTGTATAATGTGCTGCTACTGTGTATTTCTTCCCAGCTCTGAGTTCAGTGACACCATGTTGGAAGCTTGAAACTGGCCATGATGGAAGTATTTACACCATGGAAATTGGCAAATGCTACAAATCAGTCCCCTACCCCAGCTGTAAAAATTTGCCAGCACACTACTGATTCAGCCTTACATTTAAGGCTCCTTTAAGCCATACCAATTTGATTCCAACTCTCATTGACAGCCTTGATCTTTATGATTTCCTTTAATAAAAACGAGACTATTAAATTCCTATGTGGACTAGATTAACAATTTTCTAATTATTTTGTAGCAACGGGTGGAAATTTTGCCCAACCAAAAGAATAGAGCATGATCCTTCCTTCCAAAATATGTGTGTTTTTACAATGTATTGAATACAGTGTTTAGGAAACTGAGTATAGTACCATACTTTACCACAGAGAGGCGCTGTTTCCACACTTTTTTTTTTTTTTCCTCCTCCCTTCTTTTCCAATAAAGTCACAGACTCTCAGAATGTGGAAAGAGTGATTCAGTACTCCCTGGCTCTAAGCTAGTTTTTAACTATACTTCGTGACACACCAAACTCTTAATGGTGATTATCTCAGGAGGGAGTGAATTAGGTGTAACTTTATCTGCTTTGCTTTGTTTTTATACTTATTTATGACAATTGTTTTACTTTTGTAGCCAGATAAAATAAGAAATATATGACAAATTAATTCTGAGACCGTGACGCCCAGGCTGTGGGGGTGTCACTGTCGGCTGACTGTTGAGTCGTGGCTTATGTATTTCAGATTGCTGATCGCAACTGCAACCGGGTGTCGTATTACAGCGCCGGCAACAGCGACCTTCCGAATTCGACCTCAGCCCCAAGGCCAGCCAGCAAAAAGGTACCGTGCTGGGCAGTGTGAGGATGATCACAGGACGAGAGAGGAAGGATGTGAAAACCATCAAAAACACTCACCATCCAAGTGCTCTCCTGCCTTGCTCCCCACCCCCTGAACACACGAACATACAGATGCTTGCTTGTGTACACACACACCCACACATGCACACCCACACACGTATGTACACACACACCCACACGTGCACACCCACACACGTGCACACACACGTGCATACACACACGTACACACACCCACACGTGTGGGTACACACACCCACACATGCACACGTGCACACACGTACACACACGTGCATACACACACGTACACACACCCACACATGTGTACACACACCCACACGCACACCCACACGTGCACACACACGTACACACACCCACACGTGTGCGTACACACACCCACACATGCACACCCACACACGTGCGTACACACACGTACACACACCCACACATGCACACCCACACACGTGCGTACACACACGTACACACACATACATGTGCACACCCACACACATGCACACACACGTGCATACACACGTACACACACCCACACGTGTGCGTACACACCCACACATGCACAAACGTGCACACACGTGCACACACCCACACGTGTGTGTACACACCCACACGTGCACACACGTGCCCACACCCACACGTGTGCGTGCACACACTCACACGTGCACACACTCACACGTGTGTGCGCACACACCCACACGTGTACACCCACACGTGCACCCACACGTACACACACCCACGTGTGCGTACACACCCACACATGCACACACACGTGCGCATACACACCCATACACACACCCACACGCACACGTACACACACCCACACATGCGCACACACCCACACCCACGGGTACACACACCCACACACATGCATACACACACATACACACATACACACAGTGACATGCATGTACACACACCTGCACGGCACACTCCCTCAGGGCACACGTATACACACCTCTGCAGCAATCCCCTTGTCCCCATTTTCTGACCGTCTGTTGGGGGCAGTGGTGGCTCAGTGGTAGAGTTCTCCCCTTCCACGTGGGAGACCCAGGTTCAATTCCCAGCCACTGCACCTCATGCGCAGGCACCACCTGTCTGTCATTGGAGGCTCGGGTGTTGCTATGATGCTGAACAGGTTTTGGTGGAGCTTCCAGACTGAGACTGACTAGGAAGAAAGGTCTGGCTATCTACTTCTCAAAATGAGCCAAGGAAAATCGTGTGGATCACAGTGCTCTGATATGCAGCTGATCACGGGGATGGCGCAGGATCAGGCAGGGTTTCAACATTCCATTGCCTTGTGCTTGGAGTTGCCGTGACTAGGCGGCCGAGTCCACGGCAGCTCACAACAACCACTGCCCATTACCTCAGTGGTTCTCCACTTCACCAAGTATCAGAATCACCTAGATGCTTGTTAAAAACGATTTGGGGCCCCGCCTCGGGGTTTCTGATTCAGTAGATCTGAGTGGGGCCAAATAATTTGCATTTCTCCCAAGTTCCCAGCTGGTGCTTTTGGTCCAGAGGCCACCCTTGGAGAACCACTGTTAGCGTCTTCCTTTAGCGGAAGGTGAGTTAGGGATGGTTCATGCATGACCAAAGTTAACGGCAGTAATTGGCTCTAATTTATTTCAGCGCCATCCAACACAATATAACACGCTTCCGCCTAATTCTCTGTGGGCAGCCTTACCTTTGAGTTCAGAATCCTTACAAGCTGTTAAACCGCTTACCAGGACTCCGAAATTAAAATGTCCCAATCAGAGCCATGGCCTGTGTGGTCTAAAATGAGTTGGGTTCGAGTCGACCCCAACTCCTGGCAACCCCATGTGTGTCAGAGTAGAATTGTGCTCCATGGGGTGTTCAGTGAATGATTTTTCAGAAGTAGATTGTCAGGCCTTCATTCCAAGGTACCTCTGGGTAGACTTGAACCTCCAGCGTTTCAGTTAGCAGCTGAGTGCATTCACAGTTTGCACCCACTAAGGGCTCCTGTTTGGTCTGAGGGATGAGGGGAGTTTTTCCCCGGCTGGGCACCCAAAACTCTGGCCATTATAGTAGCCGCTGAAGTTAAGGCCTTGAGTGTCTTTCAAGATGCCTGTTGAAACGTCCCTGCGTGGCAGAAATGGTTACGTTCTCGACTACTAACTGAAAGGTTGGCAGTTTGAACCACCCAGAGGCACCTCAGAAGAAAGGCCTGGTGATCTGCTTCCAAATGGTCACAGCCATGACAACCCTACTGTGACACACATGGGGTCCCCAGGAGTCGGGATCCATTCGGGGACAACTGGTTTTTCTTAAAATGCAAATATGCTCAGGGGGAAGGATAACGCAGGAAGCCGTTTGCAGCCACGAATGCGTATTAGGCAGGCAGGGAGGGACTGAGGCTCAGAAGAGCTAGCTTCTACCGAATGAGGGAAAGATCTAGCGTGGGAGGCCTGCGCCGGGGCCTGGTACTGCAGACTGTAACGGTTCAGGCCTCCCATATGTCTGGGTAGAGGTCCCAGGAATTAACTGGAAAAGCAGGGGTGAAAGAAGATGTGGCTAGGTGCTAAAAATAAATTTCTCCCTTCCTCTAAAAGTTAGCATCAGGCTGACCCAGTCCCTTTGCAGTGCTCCGTTCCAAGCACCATTTTCTTCCTTAAAAACCTTCCTTTGCCCACAGCCTGACTTCCTTAAGGCATGGCCTGATTTCTCCCAGGAACACTCGTGTTTGTTTTTGCAATTGCCTTGTTCTGGCCTGAAATGACCAGCAGAGAGTCACTTTATTTCAGAGGGAAGTTTAGCCAATGCTTTTCCTTAATAGCGTAGCAAACAGGGCTTTGCTGCGTGGCTGTTTTCTGTAACCTCGGGAGCAAGGTGTTCTTGTAATAACATCGCCCTGAAGCAGCATAAATTCCTGTAAGAACTGCTTATCCTCCCTAATCTCTTCTTGCCACGAGAGACTCGGCAGAACGACTGACCTACTTTCCAGAGTGCCCTGGAAGCTGGCGTGCCTGTCTTTCCTGCAGGGGCAGGATGGGCTGTAGTAGACTTACACCACATAAACAGACAGCATGTGAGCTTAAATCTCAGCCCCACGCCTCCCTGAGGCAGACAGCCTCTTGTAAGACTCACAACAGCAAGCAAACGTGTGATTGTGAATCAAGATGAGAAGGTTTGATGAGCCTGAGTGAATGGCAAGGGACCTGCCGAGGAGCTGAAACATGCGTTCTCCATCAGCACCACTCACCTGCTGGGGGTCTAAACAGGCCGCCCAGACCTCTGCACACAGATTTCCCATTGCCCCCCTTTTAGCGTAGGTGCGTAGCTCTCAAGGAGCCCTGGTGGCACAGAGGTTAAGTGCTCGGCTGCTAACCGAAAGGTTGATGGTTCAAACTCCCCAGCATTTCCACAGAAGAAAGCTGTGGCAGTCTGCTGCCCTAAAGATGACAGCCTTGGAAGCCCTATGTGGCAGTTCTGCTCTGTCCTATAGGGTCGCTAGGAGTCAAAATCAGCTCCACAGCAACGGCTTTGGTTTTTCTGACATAGGTCTCACATTGTAATGTACACGTTGTTGTTAGGTGCTGTCATTTTCCGACTCATAGTGACCCCATGTGACAGAGTAGAACTGCCGCATAGGGTTCTCTAGGCCAGAATCTTTATGGGAGCAAATCACCTGGTCTCTCTCCCTTGGAGCCGCTGGGTTGGTTTAAACCGCCAATCGTTCGATAGCAGCCAAGTGCTTAACCATTGTGCCACCAGGGTTCCTTTTTAATGCACATAAATCAGAACCAAAAAACTAAACCCGTTGCTATCAAGTCAATTCCAGCCCATAGCAACCCTATAGGACGGAGCAGAACTGCCCCATAGGGTCTCTAAGGTCTAAGATGTGGCTGGTGGATTCCAACTGCCGACTTTTTGGTTAGCAGCTGAGCTCTTCACCACTGCGCCACCAGGGCTCCAGTGCACATAAGACTGAGCAGGTTGGGTTGCATGCATACTGGACTTTGTGGGTAATTTAAGGCATTGTCTCGGGCAGCCTTTGCCATGATCAATTTTTGCTTTAGGTGTTGACTTTAAAGCTGCCGCGTAAGACGCAACTTCAGAATATTACCGTGTTTAAGTAGTTTTAGCTCTTTCACCCGCTGAACAGTAAAAAATGAGGTTATTTATATTTATTCTAGGTTTTGTGGGGGTTAAAAAAAAAGCAAACCTGTTGCCATTGAGTTGACTCCAATGCATGGTGACCCCACGTGTGTCAGAGTAGAGCCGTACTCCACCGGGTTTCCAATGGCTGGGTTTTCGGAAGTAGACCACTAGCGAGCGCATTGACCGTTTACACCACTCAGGAGCCCGCAACAAGCTAGTAGGGTCGGTGAGAAAGAAAGGGGGTACTGGAGACCCATAGCTCTTGTCATCACTGACTGCTCTTTGTGGTTGTCCTTCAGCATTTCCATGAGGAACTCGCCCTGCAGATGGTGGTCAGCACTGGCATAGTGAGGGAAACCGTCTTCAAGTACGCCTGGTTCTTCTTTGAGCTTCTGGTGAGACTCTCGCGTGTTCACGCCTGTGCTCAGTTGGGTGTGAGAAGCACATTGTTGAGAAAGGCAGGGAAGTTTCCCGGTCAGAAATGGACACTGTCCAACAGACCTGGGCTCATTCCTTGAATCTAACCCTCCACCACCCCTCACTGATGTTATCTTTAAAACCCATGTCCAACCTGCCACATCTCACCATCTTCACTGCTTCCCACCTGGCCAAGCCGCCATCTTGTCTCTTGTGCCTCCTGCTAGCACTTCCTCTTTCCCCAGCTGCATCCATTCTTGCCCCTCCCCGTTCATTCTGCATGGACAGTCAGTATAAAACAAACCATGTCACCCCACCTGTCTTTTAGAACTCTTCAGCAGGTACTGAGTTTCTGCTCAGGGTGATGAAGAACTTCCAGAAATAGATAGCGGTGATGGTCGCACAACGTGCTGAATGTAATTAACGTCACTGAATTGTATACTTAAAAATGGTTACAATGACAAATTTCTTATAAAATTTACCACACTAAAACTAAAATAAAAAAATAAAACAACTTTAATGATTTCCAGCGGACAGGGACTAAAACACAAGTTTCCACCATGGCCTGAGCAGCCCTTGTATGATTCTGCCGTTTACCTCCGTCTCCAGCCTTGTCTCCTGCCGTGGTCCCCCTCGTTGGACCACGCTATTCCCGTTTCAGTTCTTTGAGGATGCCAAGAAGTTTTCAGCCTCAAAGCCTTTTTCAGATTCTCTGCCCTCTGCTTCCCTGTCTTAGCTACCTAGTGCTGCTCTAACAGAAATACCACAAGTGAGTGGCTTGTTAACAAACAGAAATGTATTTTCTCACAGGTTGGGAGGCTAGAAGTCCGAATTCAGGGTGCCGGCTCAAGAGGAAGGTTTTCTCTCTCTCTCTGTCGGCTCTGGGGGGAGGTCCTTGTTCCTCGGCAAACTTCACATGGCCTGACGTCTCTCTTGCTCTCTTGGCTCTGCTTGCTCTCTTGCTAGTTTAATCTCTTTTTTATCTCAAAAGAGATTGATTTAAGACACACCCACACTAATGCCATCTCGTTAACACAACAGAGAAAACCCATCCCCAATGGGATTATGATCACAGGTATAAACCAAACCCGTTGCCGTCAAGTGGATTCTGACTCATAGCAACCCTACAGGACAAAGTAGAACTGCCCTATAGGGTTTCCAAGGAGCGCATGGTGGATTCGAATCGCTGACCTTTTGGGTAGCAGCCGTAGCTAGGGGTTAGGATTTACAACACGTTTTGGGAGGACATGATTCAATCCTTAGCAGGCAGGAATGAGGGCCGTGAGGGTGGATAATACTCCGGCCTTTCAGTTCTCTGCCGGCTGGTACCTCCTATTGGCCACCCGCAACCAGAGAGCCAGAGGGGAAGTGGCCTGGTGATGCAGTCGGTAGATCAGCTTCCCGGGGCTCAGAGTGGCCGGACAGGGCAAGAATTCCATCTGAGGGCTGGGTAGCGGCAAGTGGGTAGTATCAGCCTCCAGCCAGACCTTTGCAAGGAAATTGATGTCAGAGAGGGCTGGCAGTCTTCCACACACTGCTCACGTGTATCTATCTGCCTTACCTGGGAAGTTGCTTGAAAACCAGAACAGGTTCTTCCCGAGAAACTTGGGGAGAAAGAAACCTCAGCCTCCTGTGCGTGGCCAGCACCCTGGGCAGCTTCACACCCTGGGCAGCTTCGCACCCTTCTGTGGTGTTACTGCCCCAGTGCTAACGAGCCAGTCCTGTGGCTGCAAAGCTGTGGAATGTAGCCCCAGTGAGTCTCACACTTGCTAATGAATCAACCCCTGTGCTTCCTGAAACTGCTGAGCCAGACTTTGGGGACCGAGAGCTCAATGGGTGACCTGGTTTACTTATTCAGGTCCTTTAGAGGCACCTCTACTTTGAATAAGCCACAAAGGCCAGTAGAGGGGGAGGTATTTTCCTGCCTCGCTCCCCTCTCCCCCACCTCCCAAATAATGGACCAAGCATTCGAGAATATTTCTACTGGGTGTTCTTCCCTGAGACCCTGAGGACACCGTGGCTGGCAAGTTGCTGCCAGTCTGGAAGGAGGCCATCCGTTGGAAGTAGGCTATTGTGAGAATTATTTATTTGGTTGTAGGATGGCCAACTCAGCAGGCAGGAGCCGAAAACAGCAGTGTTTCTCTAAGCCAGCAGAGACTCGGGGCTGGGGTAGCCCAGGACAAAGGGGCCTTGTCTTCCCAGGACCTTCATTAGGAGCGAAGGAAGAGAGACACTTTAGTTCAGAAAAAAGGAGGTTCAGTTCTCACCACTGGTTCAGGTCCACCGATCGAATGTGTGAGGCCCAGAGCTGGCCAGAGAAGGCAAGAATTCCATCTGAGGGGTGGGCGGTAGGGATGCGTCCGCAGGTCCTGGTACCAGTGGAATTCTGGAGTCTTCACCTGGCCTTCAGAACTGTATGTTCTCAGGTCTTCAAGCAAGCCGGTCCTGGCATTATCGTCAGACAAGAAACACAGAAAGTCTTTCTGTCTTTCTCTTCTTGGTTTACCTTCTCCTTGTTCTTCTTCTCTGTTTGTCTCGTTGCTCATGAAAATCGCCAGTCCCGCGTTCTGAGACCCAGAAATCTGCTGTTGGTGGGCAAAATTTCTTCCCACGTTGCTCTTGAAGATGGAAGACGGTCTTCCTACACAACTGTCTTTGTCCTCTCTTCCTCCAGCCCTGACCTCGGGGTCACCTGCAGGCAAATGTGGTGCTTCCATTTCCAGAACCATTTCTTTCTTTCTTTCCTTTTTTTTTTTTTTAATTTCTTTTTTTTATTGTGGTAAAAGTATATACACCAAAACATTCACCAGGGCAACAATTTCCACATTTACAATCCAGTGACATTGATTAAATTTTTCCTGTTGTGCCACCATTATCGCGATCCTTTTCCAAAAATATTCCACTACCATTCACGTCAACTGTATGCCCCCCTAACAAGAATGCCTCCTTTCCCCCTCCCTCCCACCCCGGGAGCCACTAATAACCTTTGGTTTCCATATATTTGTTTATTTCTTGTAAATGTGCTCATACAGTATTTGTCCTTTTGTGGCTGGCGGACTTCACTCAGCACGGTGTCCTCATCCATTCAGTGGTACGCAGAGCCACTTCTTTATGTGGGGATGCTCTGACCAGCCTGGACATGCTCAGGAAAATGGCCTCAGAGGGTGGACACCCAAACACAAGGAACTTCCAGTCTTGCCCACCAGATGGTTCCTTAAAGCTCTAAGCAACTTTCAACATGGACGAAACTCGACCTCAGACTATATCAAAGTGGGTTGTGTTGGCCCAGAAATCCCCTGGCCCTAAGAAGCAGCCCGAAAACCAAGCATGTTCTTGACTTAAAACGGTGTACTAGACAAGAAAGGAGCCCTTGTGGTACAGCAGTTAAGTGCTTAGTTGCTAACCAAAAGGCTGGTGGTTCAAACTCACCAACCTCCACAGGAAAAAGATGTGGCAATCTGCTTCCATAAAGATTACAGCCTTGGAAACCCTATGGGGCAGTTCTACTCTGTCCTATAGGTCACTATGAGTTGGAATCGACTCTATGGCAACGGGTTTGGTTTTTGGTTTTGGTGAGGCATGAGCTGGTAGTCCGTTAGTCACAAGACAGGTAGTCACCAATGGATACTCAGGTTTTACTTTAAAAAAGAGAACTTGTCTTAATTTGCTAATGCTACTGTAATAGAAATACCACAGGTGAGTGGCTATAAAGAACAGAAATTCATTTTCTCACAGTTCTGGAGGCTAAAAGTCCAAATCGGAGTCTCAGCCATGTTGATTCCGTCCTTGTCGGTAGCCCCGGGCGCTCCTTGTTTCCTTGGCTTGTAGACGATCTTCACGCGGCCTTTGTCTTCCCCTGTCCGTGCTTGCTTCTCTGTGTCCACCCTGCTCTTTTTATAACTCGGAAGTGATTAGGTTTAGGACACACCCTAGTCTGGTATGGCCTCCTTAACGTAACATAACAATTACATTATATTCCGTTATATTCACAGGTATAGGGGTTAGGATTCCAGCACATATTCCAACATAATTTCCCCCAGAAACAATATTCTAAATAGTCTTTAGCTTTTCACCTGGCCAACAAAATCCTGCCCAACCCAGAATATACCTAAAATTTATAGAAGCAGAAAAGAACTCTGTTGCAAACTGTAGACTTTTTTTTCTGCAAAGACTCTGCTCCAGATTTCAGCTTGGCACTCAGGAGAGGAGGAACATGTACCCCTTCTTCTCTTTACTGTCATTTCAAAGACAGAAAGGGCTTCAGTCCACGTGAGCCACAGTACCATAATGTGGTGCGTTCTGAGCTTTGGCAGAGGGCTGGTCCAGTGGGTACGGAGCTGGCGAGGTCTGCCTTCCCGCATAGAGAGAGAAGGGGTGTCTGCTGACTCTGGAGCTGAAGAATTACTCTCCCTGGCCTTGTTGGCAGCAAGAAGGGAGTCCCCCGAGTTGGCGTCAAGAGGAGCACACCCTCCCTTCCCAGCTCCTGCTGCTATGGTAACCAACCGGGTGTCAGAAGCATTTTCATCATGGAGCCTGCTTGGGCAGCCCCAGCACAGATCGAGCGTAGGCAAGGCCGTTGTTGACGAGCTTGCCTTCACGTCTGTGCCCTTCTGCCACGGGGCACAGGCGGGCCACTGGCTTCTGTGTTGACCCCCAACCCCTCCTCTAGGTGAAGAGCATGGCCCAGTACATACACAACCTAGACAAACAGGACACTTTTCGGAGGACGCGTTTTTCTGACCGTTTCAAAGATGACATAACGACCATTGTGAACGTGGTCACGTCGGAGATTGCGGCCCTCTTAGTAAAACCTCAGAAGGTAACGGTGGGTTTTCCTCTCTGCTTTCCAAATGTTTCACCCTCAGCACCTGTTACTTTCGTAATTGGAGGGAGATGAGCATTACTTTAAAACAGTAATTAGCATGTAACTCTAGGTGACAACTAAATGCAGTATGTCACGTTGGCCTGGATCCTGGCGGGGGGCGGGGGGGTGCTACAAAGGAATTACAACATGGACTATAGTTTTAACCATAGTTTAATTATTGTATCAAGGTAGGTATGGAAGAGAATATTCTCGTTCTTAGAAAACACACTCTGAAATATTGAGAGATAAATGGGCATGATAGTTGCAACCTACCCAAAAATGATTGAGGAAAAAAATAATTCCTATATACATATACATATATACATACATATATATATATATATATATATATATATATATATATAAAACAGTTGCCATTGAGTTGATTCTGACCCAGGGTGACACCATGTGGTCTCAGAGCGGAGCTATGCCCTATAAGGTTTTCAATGGCTGATTTTTTTTAAAGTAGATTGCCAGGCCTTTCTTCCAAGGTGCCTCTGGGTAGACTCAAACATCCAACCTTTGGGTTCACAGCTGAGGGCATTTAACCATATGCACCACCCAGGGACTCTGTAGATATAACAAGAATGATAAAGCAAATGTAGCAAGGTGTCAGATACTGATGAATCTAGTTCAAAAGCATGGAGGAGCTTTTTGTACTATTCTTTTTTTTTTTTCTGTAAGTTTGAAATTGTCTCAAAATAAAAAGTTAAAAAATATATAAAATGAAACAAAACAAAATTTTAAAAGGTAACTGGAATTTCAGGCAGCAGTGTTCATCATTAATCATTTATTCTCACTGTTATTATTATTCATTATTTAGAGTTTATACTGTGCCAAGAGAGGGCATTGGTGGTTCAGTGGTAGATTTCTCACCTTCCGTGCTGGAGAGCGGGGTTTGATTCCCGGCCAATGCACCTCACGTGCAGCCACCACCCGTCTGTCAGTGGAAGTGTGTGTGTTGCTATGATGCTGAACAGGTTTTGATGGAGCTGCCAGACTAAGACAGACTAGGAAGAAAGGCCTGGTGATCCAGCTCCGAAATCACCCAGTGAAAACCCTATGGATCACAACAGTCCGATCCAAAGCCAATCACGGGGATGGCACAGGACCAGGAAGCATTTTATTCCACTGTGCGTGGGGTCACCATGAGTCGGGGGCAACTCGAACGCACCTAACAGCAGCAGCACACGGTACCGGGGGCTTGGGGGATGATTTCCATTGGGTTATCTCCCCAGGCAAAGCTTCAGTTAGAGCAGGAATGGCATCTCCATTTCTGCAGGCATGAAAAATGAGGCACAGTGAGGTTGATACATTTTCCAAAAGCCACACAGCCAGCAGCAAAGCCAAGACTGGAGATTCCAAGCCCAGGTAGTCCTTATGCAGACTCCCCAGGAGAAGTGGCCCATGTGGCCGATGCTGAGCGGAGCACGTGCCTCCCACAGGTGCTGCGGGAGCCTCTCCCCCAGGCCTCCCTCCCTCCCCATGGCTGGTCGCTGGGCCTGAATTTGCAAAGTGTGCATCGTAACAAGATGAAAACATTTTCAAGTCATATTTTCAGTACCGTCAGAGGAAACTGATTTATCATTCTGAGCATAAGGAACATAAACATGGAAAAGTGAATCCCCAGTTGCTCAGAAGTGCCATAAAAGCCCTCATAAATACAAGCACTGAGAAGTAATAATAATAATTTAAAGAAAAATTCTCTCCAGCCTGATCCGTGCACGAGTTCTCTCTACCACGTACAACTCTGACCTCTCACACTGAGAATGTTGCCTGATTAGGAGGAAAAAAATCTTTAGGTAAAAACTGATTCTCTTATCCTGATTGGATTTTCTGCAACAATCCCTATAAATGAAGAATCTAGCTCGTTGAAGGTGGTGACTACATTTCAAGCGAGTTTTACGAAAACAATAGTCACCAGAATTAAATAAATTATGATAGAGCAGTATGAAGAACTGTCAGACAGCCATAAAAAACTGGTTGTAAAGACACTTCAATAATGCAGGAAAGTGTTCATAATATAAGGTTAAATAAAAAAAATTCAGGACCGGACACTGTGCGTACAGAAGGAGACGGGTTATATTCGTGTAGAATATGCATGTAGAAAAAAATTCATGTAGAAATACACGTGTAGGGAAAAAAACTACTGGAAGGAAATGCACCTAAATATTAACAGTAGATAAAGAATTATTTGATTCAACCCAACACATAGGGCATTAGCTAAGGGCTAAATTGAGGGCGGTGTTGGTTCGGTGATGGAATTCTTGCCTTCCGTGCCGGAGACCGGGGTTTGATTCCCGGCCAATGCACCTCGTGTGCAGCCACCACCCGTCTGCCTGTCAGTGGAGGCTTGTGTGTTGCTATGACGCTGAACAGGTTTCAGCAGAGCTTCCAGCTGAAGACAGACTAGGAAGAAAGGCCAGGTGACCCCCTTTCAAAATTCAGCCAGTGAAAGCCCTATGGATCACAATGGTCTGATCGGCAACTGAACACAGGGATGGTGCAGCACTGGGCAGTGTTCGTTCTGTTGTACATGGTGTCGCCACAAGTCAGGGACCAACTCCAGGACCGCTAACAGCGAGGGCTAAATTATATTTGCTACAATTTTGCAGAGAGGAGAACTGACCTTTAGAACGGTTACCTGCTTGAAACTAATTTGCTCTGTAAACTTTCATGTAAAGTACAATTAAAAAAAGAAAGAAAGGTTACCTGCTTTGCTCAGCATTGCCCAGAGGGACAGTGGCTGAAATAATACTACCTCCATCTCCCACCTTACCCACCAGGGCCAGGGAGTCCATATCCTGGGTTTTACCACAAAATGATTTGAGTGTCTGTCTGTCTGCTTGTTTTTAAGGAAAATGAGCAGGCAGAAAAGATCAACATCAGCCTGGCTTTCTTCTTATATGACCTGCTCTCACTCATGGACCGCGGCTTCGTGTTTAACCTCGTCAAGCATTACTGCAGTCAGGTGAGTGCACCTCCACGCACGCCACGTTGTTCCTTCTCTTCTGCCGTCGGAGCCCTGGGGGCACAGTGCTGCTAACCAAAAGGTCGGCAGTTTGAATCCACCAGCCACTCCTTGGAAACCCTATGGGGCAGTTCTGCTCTGTCCTGTGGTGTCGCTATGAGTCGGAATCAACTTGACGGCAATGGTTTTGTTTTTTTTGGTTTTACCTGCTGTAATGCTCCTCGCCATTAACCTCGCCATAAGATGTGTGCTGTCTTGTCGTTGTGTGCCGCTGAGGGAATTGCGACTCATATTGATCCTATAGGACAGGGTAGAACGTCACCATAGGGTCTCCAAGGCTATAATCTTTACCACAGAAGCCCCGGTGGCGCAGCGGTTAAAGTGATCAGCTGCCAACCAAAAGGTCGGTGGTTCGAACCCACCAGCCAATCCACGAGAGAAAGATGTGGCCATCTCCATCTGTAAAGGTTAACCAAAAAACAAAAAAAACCCACTGCTGTCGAGTCGATTCCAACTCATAGTGACCCTGTAGGGTTTCCTAGGCTGTAATCTTTATGCAAGCAGATGGCCACATCTTTCTCCAGAGGAGCGGCTGGTGGGTTCGAACCACCTGCCTTTCAGTTAGCAGCCGAGTGCTTAACCACTGTGCCACCAGGGCTCCTAAAGCCTTCTTACTTAGGGTCAGACTAGGTCCTTTTCCCCACGTTATGTTACGCTGAAGACATCCCCCAAGCTCATGTTGAACACGGGTTTGCCCCTGCATTATAGACTTGGTAATGGGAGGGGTCAGGCCGGAGCCCTCGTTTGGGGCAGCATTAGGCTGGAAGCATCACGGGGAACGGCAATGGGTGGAAACTCCCTGGGCCTCCCTGCAAGGCAGTTTACTTTCTGTTACACCATCCCAATAATTTTTATTAAGTGACTGCCTTCATCTGGGGAGAAAGAATTGTGTCTTCCAACCACAGCCCTGTTCACCTGACAGTAAGCACAGCTTTCCTCTTTTTTCCCGTCTCCCCAGCTGTCGGCCAAGCTCAATAACCTTCCAGTGCTCATTTCCATGCGGCTGGAATTCCTGCGAGTGCTGTGCAGCCACGAGCATTACCTCAGCCTGAACCTCTTCTTTATGAACGCTGATACCGCGCCGGCTTCGCCCTGCCCCTCCATATCTTCCCAGGTAACCAGCTAGCGGAAAGAATCACTCAAGCCATTTTACTTAACTAGCTTAGTTTAGCTCATTCACTTCCTATAAAGGTTGGTCTTAACAATTAGAAGAAAACTCAAGCTATTCACACCCTATCAGTTGATCCAGGTATAGACAAGACCAGACCCTGAGGATCCCCCGTCTTAACTAATCATTTATGAGCTAAGCAACGCTTCCTTCCAAGGACCATGGGCCCCCACTGAGGCCAAGCAGAACAAGGAATCCTCAAGCACTGTGAACATTTAGAAACGTATGGAAAAGTCACCTGTTTTCCTTGTTGTTGTTAGTTGCCGTAAAGTGAGCTCTGACTCGTGGTGACCCCATGTACAACGGAATGAAACTTGCTCAGTCCTGGGCCATCTTCATGATTGTTGGTATGTCAGAGCCCACTGTTGGCCACAAGGGGGTTCATCTTCCAGCACCATATTGGACAATATTCTGTTGTGATCCATATGGTTTTCATTGGCTAATTTTCAGAAGTAGATTGCCAGGCCTTTCTTCCTCTTCTGTCTTAGTCTGGAAGCTCCATTGAAACCTGTCCACCATGGGTGGTATTTGAAATACTGGTGGCATAGCTTCCAGCATCACAGCAACATGCAAGCCACCAGGGCATGACACACTGACAGACGGGTGTGGCGATCTTCCTTAGTCTGGCAATAATCATCTCTCTGCTTTAGCCTGACAGCTCCATTGCCTAGATCCCAGTACCATAAAATTTATGAAAATCTGGGTTCCTTCATGTTGATTCCAAACTGATCTAGCAGTATTTTCTAACATAGATATTCTATCTCTGAGCTACCCTAGAGCTTCCTGTCGACACTGTTACAGAATGGAATTCAGTATAAAATGGGTCCGTCTTGGCTCATATTCCGGATACTTTAGCTCCTGAAGCACTAAAAAGATCTCATTATAAATTAATCAAATGGCCCGTTGTGTAACCTGTTGCTGTCAAGTCGATTTTGACTCATAGCGACCCTATAGGACAGAGAAGAACTGCCTCATAGAGATTTGAGACTGTAATCTTTTTGTAAAGAGTCAGCAAAAAAGAGGAAGACCCTCAATGAGATGGATTGACACGGTGGCTGCATCAGTGGGCTCAAACATAGCAATGATTGTGAGGATGGCCCAGGACCAGGCAGTGTTTCATTCTGTTGTACACGGGGTTGCTGTGAGTTGGAACTGACTCAATGGCACCTAACAACAAAAATCTTTTCAGAAACAGACTGCCACGTCTTTCTCCCATGGAGCCACTGGTAGATTCGAACCACTGACCTTTTGGTTATCAGTAGTGCTTAACCACTGCGCCACCAGGCCTCCTTTTGCCTGTTGTTTAGAGAATATATTCCTACCAAGTCTTTTTCTTGACAAGCTAAGAAAAGTAACACATGTATGAATATTGAGAAGCAAGCTTTGATGGAGGTGGCCAATCTGTCTGTAGAATAATTTTCCCCGAGTTGGCTTCCCTAGGTCGTCCCAACTTATACAGGATACTAACAGGTATTAGCCAAACACAGGGCTCCATGGTCACATAAGGTTTGGAAACCCAGTGTTAAGGGTTAAACAGGTTTCTTTGCAATGGTTCATCCAAGAGTCTTTAACTTGTGAGTGTAAATTATGAATGCCCCAGGGGTGGAGAAGGAAATAAGAGGAAGTGTCTGGTAAGCGGGGATTCCCAAAGTGATTTGACTAAGGGAAATTTTTTTGTCCGTAGATCATCTCAAGGGACTAATGTCCTCTGGAATTGTGGTTGTTGTTAGCTGACCTTAAGTTGGCCCTGACTCATGACAGCTTCATGCACAACAGAACAAAATGCTGCCTCGTCCTGCGCCATCCCTGTGATCAGTTGCGGATCAGATCACTGGGATCCGTAGGGTTTTCACTGGGTGATTTTCAGAAGTAGATCGCCAGGCCTTTATTCCTAGTCCATCTTAGTCTGGAAGCTCCGCTGAAACCTGCTCAGCATTGTAGCAACATGCAAGCTTCCGCTGAAATGGCTATTCTATTCCTCTAGAATAACCTGTTCCCATGGCTGTCGAGTCGATTCTGACTCATAGCAACTCTGTAGGACAGAGTAGAACAAACTGCCCCATGGGGTTCCAAAGAGCGGCTGGTGGATTCAAAATGCTGATCTTTTGGATACCAGCTGAGCTCTTAACCACTGCACCACCAGGGCTCGTCCTCTAGAATAGCTTAGGAAATGCTGTTTTATAGTCACATTTCAGTTATAGAGGATAACTCAGTAGCCCAGAACAGACAAGATTTCTCAATATTACATTCTAATTCTGTTGTTGCATACTCCTTATTGTTGATTCAAACGTAAAAACTTGTTATTAAAAAAAAAAAGAAATGCTAGCCACTCATCCCAGAGGCATCCCAGAGGACATGGTCCAGATGTTAGCTAGATAGCCATCTTGATGTGAACAGAACCAGCTGACTGACAAGCTGCCACTCCGACTGTGCAGCCTTTCAGCAGCGGGTGCTCACCTGAGACGGCAGAGGTTAACTCTGTGCTCAGTCCTTCCCCACATTCTGGCACTGATCAAACCCGGGGCCAGGCTCAGCCTCGCCACGCCATGAAGGACTTCAGAGACACTAGATTCTTTTCGTGAACTGCCCAGCATGCCCGATAAGTACACAGGGATTGCCCCGGATGTAAATCTGACACCTCCCTGCCTGACCCCACCTCTAGGTCCCAGCGAGCAGAACGCAGACAGTGTGCTTAAGTATATTCATAAGTATAGCTGAGTAAACAGGGCCCTAAAAAAGGCGGACAGTTTGTTGTAGAGGAATTGCTGTTCCCCGCCACAGAATGGGATGCAGTCCCCACTTCCCCATCCAAATTGCACCCTAGGATTTGAATCTTCAGCTTGGACTTGGGTTGGGGTGCCAGACCCTGAGTGCTTTATTTTCATCTTTCCCTATTAGCAGGCCTCCATCTGTAAGCCAATCAGTTGCCGTCAAGCCAACTCCAACCCACAGCACCCCCACGTGTGTCAGAGAAGAACTGTGCTCCATAGGGTTTTCAGTGGCTGATTTTGTGGAAGTTGATTGCCAGGACTTTCTTCTGAGGTGCCTCTGAGTGGATTTGAACCTCCAACCTTTCAGTTAGCAGCTGAGCACTTAACTATTTGTACATCCCAGGGACCCTCCATCTGTGGGTGTGGTAAAACAAAGTAACCACCCTAAGTCTCCATTTCCTCATGTGGAACATAGGGATAATACCAGTACCCACTTCACTGGGCAGTGCTCACCAAGCCTGACCTGTGGTAAGTGCTCAATAAAATACTCAGCTGCTAACCAAAAGGTTGGCTGTTCAAATCCACCAGCCGCTCCTTGGAAACCTTACGGGGCAGTTCTACTCTGTCCTGTAGGGTCGCTATGAGTCAGAACCGACTCCATGGCAACTAACAAAAAAACCAAATTATTATTGTGGGAGCCCTGGTGGCACAATGGTTAAGCAGTCGGCTGCTAACGGAAAGGTCAGCAGTTCAAACCCACCAGCAGCTTCGTGGGAGAAAAGACCTGGCAATCTGCTCCTGTGAAGATTATAGCCTCAGAAACCCTATGGGGCAGTTGTACTCAGTCACATGGGGTCGCTATGAGTGGGCATCGACTCGAGGGCACCCAGCAACAGTCGCTATTAGAGTTACAGCTGCTCCTTGCGTTTCTGCAGAATTCCAGCTCCGGCTCCAGCCTCCAGGACCAGAAGATCGCTAGCATGTTCGACCTGACCCCCGAGTACCGCCAGCAGCACTTCCTCACTGGCCTTCTCTTCACTGAACTGGCTGCCGCTCTGGATGCCGAAGGGGAAGGGTACGTGTCTGACCTTTAAGATGAAATACAGAGCTGAAGGAAGATGTCCTTGATAAGATTTGCAATCCATCGTCTCGTGCTTGGCGTAAAACTCTACCATTTGCCACTTCCAAAGGGGAGAAGCACCCGTGTTTTGAGAAACGGGTCCCAATGGGAATACAGAAAAGGAGTGGGGGCGGGAGAGGGACCACAGAATGACTTCTTTCCATCACTTATGTATTGGGCGAGAATTCACCTATTCTATCATAACAGCTTTCTCAGTGACACTTTGATTGGTAAGCTCCCTGGGAAGGGGAATGAAGCCTTTTATTTATTATTGTGGTGAAAATATACCCCCGAAACATCCGCCAGCACAACAGCTTCCACGTTTACAATTCAACGCCGTTGATGACGTTTTTCACATTGTACCACCATGATCGTGATCCTTTCCCAAAAATATTCCACCGCCATTCACATAAACCCAGTGCCCCGGTGCCCCTCCTCCCCTCCCTTGCTAACCGTTCAGTCTTTGGTTTCTGTATATTTGGTTATTTCATATACGTGAGATCGTGCACCATTTGGCCTTTTGGGAGTGACTTCCTTCGCTCAGCATGCTGTTTTTAAGCTGCGTCTCAGGACTGCATTTCTCTTCGTGGCTGAGGAGGATTCCATCGTATGGATAGAGCACATGTTGTTCATCCATTCAGCGGTTGATGGACATGGCAGTTCTTCCCACGTTTTGGCTATTATGAAAAGTGCAGCAATGAACGTTGGTGTACAGGTCCACAGAGCCATTTTTAAATATGGGGACAGCACCCAGAGGCCGCAGCAAGATGCCACATGGCTCCAAGCTGACAAAGGATGTGGCTGCTGATGACAAAGACTTGTTCCGTGTCTGGGTTGGGTTTCTTACAGGCAGGTCTTCCCAGGCTAAGACAGAAGCCACACGCCCAGGACTTAGAAGTCCAATTGTTGTTGTAGGGTGCTGTCGAGTCGATGCCAGCTCATAGCAACACTATATGACAGAATGGAACTGCCCCATAGGGTTTCTAAGGCTATAATCTTTACAAGAGCAGATCACCAGGACTTTCTTCCGCAGAGCTGCTGGTGGGTTTGAACCGCCAGCTTTCAGTTAGCTGCCCAGTGCTTAACCATTGTGCCACCAGGGCTCTTTGTAAGTCTGATTACCTCTTACACATTGGATCACCCAGAGGCATGTCGCATACCCTCTGGACCTGAGCAGTATCTAGCCTTGAAGTGACTGGATAGCGAAGGAGGCAGGCCAACCCCTTCTTCAGTCCCTCTTTCCTTATGCGCCATGAGCCGAAAGGACCTAAACCATAGCCCACCTGGTTGGATGGAAGGAGACAATGCATTCCGAATTCTTGTACATGTACAATATATGCACAGTATACATATACGATATTATTATAGATATGGAATGATACATTCCATTCAACAATTACTGAATGCCTCACATGCAGCAAGGTCCCTGGGTGGCACAAGCAGGTTGTGGTTGGCCGCTAACCTAAAGGGTGGTGGTTCATACTTACCCAGCAGCTGCACAGAAGACATGGTGATCTGCTCCCGTAAAGATGATGGGCAAGAAAACGCTGTGGAGCACGGTTCTACCGTGTCACGTGGGGTCGCCAGGAGTCGGAATCTGCTCAATGGCAATGGATTTGGGCTTTTTGGTTTTTACCATGCAGTAGTTGAGTGCTGGACTCCATCAGAGTTATACCAAAACCAAAACCCATTGCCATCGAGTCGATTCCGACTCATAGCAACCCTATAGGACAGAGTAGAACTGCCCCACAGGGTTTTCAAGCAGCAGCTGGTGGATTAAAACTGCCGAGCTCTTAACCACTGTGCCACCAGGGCTCCGCATCAGAGGTATACTGGTGCACAAAACAGACAACATTCCCTACCCACGTAGAGCTCGTGGTTCAGGAAGTCAGATCCAGAGATCATTAGGATTGGAAAGGAACTTACGTTCAACGCTTTTGGTTTTCAGATGAGGCTCACAGATACAGCCAGCATTCCATAGCAGAACCAAGTCTTGAGCCATGGTCTCTTAGGTTCCTTCCCAGGGCCCACTCTCCCACAGCATACTGTCTCCCTGCCTTGGAACCTATTCCTATGACCCCCACACACGTTCCTCCACTAGAGAAGTTTCTGGAATAAAGTATGCTAACAGCAGAATGAAGCCCTGGTGGCACAGTGGTTAAGGGCTCGGCTGCTAACCAAAAGGCTGGCAGTTCGAATCCTCCAGCCGCTCCTTGGAAACCCTATGGGGCAGTTTTACTCTGTCCTATAGAGTTGCTATGAGTCGGAATCGAATCGATGGCAACGAGTTTGGTTTTACGGGTTTAGTGGCAGAATTATTGTATGTTGTGACTATTTTTGTTTAATTGGAAGTTCTCAGTTCTCTCAGAGTGCTTATAATCGCGTGAAGGAAGCAGGGCACCCCTGCACAGAACAATCCCAGGGCACATCTGTGTCTGTGTCACTGATAACAAGGTATCCCAAGTGCTTTGGGCATACCGGTGATGCTGAAGTGAAGATGTACCTGTCTCCCAGCAGGCCATTGTGGGAAATCTCCTGCTCTTAGCGCTGACCAGTATTCTTCTAGAAATTTAGGTCCCAAGTATATCCTTGCTGTTGTTAGCTGCTGTTGAGTTAGCTCCCAACTCATGGCCGTGCCATGCACAGCAGAATGAAATGCTGCCTGGTCCTGTGCCATCCCCATGATCTGTTGGGAATGGGATTGTTATGATCCATAGGATTTTCATTGGTTGATTTTTAGAAGTAGATTGCCAGGGCTTTCTTTCTGGTCTTAGTCTGGAGGATCTGCTGAAACCTGTTTAGCATCCTAGCAACACACAAGCCTCCACTGACAGACGGGTGGCGGCTGTGCACAAGGCATACTGGCCTGGAATAGAACCTGGGTCTCCCGCATGGAAGGTGAAAATTTTACCACTGAACCACCACTCCCACCATGAGTATATCCTTAGAGAAGTTAATTTCCCAAGGCTTTCTCAGTCCTAACTAAATCCTCCCAGTTCTCTCAATAGAATTGTCTACCCTATAACATCAGGAAAAACAATACTTCTCAAGATCAGCATTTCCTTTTGCTACCAAGACGATTAACGGCCTCACTAGTACCTGCCCACCTGGGCTGCCGGGCCCAGTGGACACATCTCAGCACCTGGACCCCCAGCGGGACCTCAGCCTGTCTCCACTGGGTCTCCGTGGAGCCCCCAGCCCAGCTGTGTACACAAACGTCCACCCAGCATTAAAGCCACAGTGTTTTCAAGCCTGTGACAATCGTTGCGCTTCTTTGTTTTAAACTAGAAAATGGCATTGCATCATCCAGATGTGACCCGTTGCCACAACCACAGATGAAGGTGTTGGCCAGGACGTGACCAACTTTTGAAATGTGATTTGAAGTTATTTTAGCCAAGTGTAAGAATCTGGGACAGTTGTCAATTTGGTTAAGATTTTCTATATAACTTTGGATTCTGATGTAGCCTTTTGTTTAAAAGAAGAAAACTATTTTTTTAAATTGAATAACTAGGGCTAGGTGCCAGATATTCTGCAAGATGTTTTATTTTATTCACTTTTTTATGAGGTATACTTTACAGACAGTAAAGTGCCCAAATCTTAAATATAAATGCAGTTAATTTTTTACCGATGGTTACACTTGGGTAGCCACCAGCCAGATCACGATACAGAATGTTTCTAGCACCGTGCAACGTTCCCAAAGGTATCCACTATTCTAATCACCATAAATTAGTATTTCCTATTCTTGAAGTGGAGTCCCTGGGTGGTGAAAAAAACTAATGTTTTCAGCTGCTAACCAAAAGCCTAGAGGTTCAGGTCCAACCAGAGGTGCCTTGGAAGAAAGGCCTGGCAATTTACCGAAAAATCAGCTATTGGGAACCTTGTGGATCATATAAATATTTGTCCTTTTGTGACTGACTTATTTCACTCAGCATAAATTTTTCAAGGTTCACCATGTCGTACTACGTATCAGGAATTCATTTCTCTTTGTGGCTGAATAATAGTGCACTATATATATGTGTGCGTGTGTGTGTACGCACTTAACTACTGAGCCACCAAGGCTTCTATTTATATATATTTATATATATATATATATTTTTTTTTTTTAATGTGGTTATATATTGTTGTTAGGTACTGTTGAGTGACTTCCAACTCATAGCAACCCCATGCACAGCAGAACAAAACACTGCCTGGTCCTGCGCCACCCTCACAATTGTTGTTATACTTGAGCCCATTGTTGGAGCCACTGTGTCAGTCCATCTCGTTGAGGGTCTTCCTCTTTTTCACTGACCCTCTACTTTACCATGCATGATGTTCTTCTCCAGGGGCTGGTCCCTCCTGATAACATGTCCAAAGTATGTGGGACAAAGTCTGGCCATCCTTGCTTCTAAGGCACATTCTGGCTGTACTTCTTCCAAGACAGATTTGTTTGTTCTTCTGGCAGTCCATGGTGTATTCAATATTTTTCGCCAATACCACAATTCAAATATATATATACAGAGAGAGAGAGATAACCCTGTGGAGCACAGTTCTACGCTGACCCGCATGGGGTCGCCAGGAGTAGGAATCGATTAGATGGCAGCTGGTTCCATTCTTGAACTTGAATATCATGCGTGTGAGATCCTTCAATGTGGTCGCACGTATCAGTAGTTCATTTTTTCTCTCGATTCTATTTACTGTTCCTTCCTGTGTCCATACCACAATGTGTCTGCTGTAAATAGGCATGAGGGTTTCTTCCAGCTTGGGGCTACTATGAAAAGGTTGCTATAACGCTCCTGTACATGGCTTTTGGTGGACAACGTTAGAACTCATTTCCTTTGGCTATACATACAGCCTGATTTTTTCAGATTGATTTAAATTTATTGCTTGCGAATAGGTAGATACGTGCATGTGGTGTTTAAAAAAGTTGCAAGAATCTGCACTGAAGTTGGAAAAGGAAAGCTAACTAAATCCAAAGC